AGAGAGAGAGAGAGAGAGAGAACAGTTTACCTAAATGTGAACTCAGCATCAGACACTACTGTCCTCTCCCACAGGCCTAACCCCATCACATATTTTCCAGAGTCTATATTAGTGGGTCCAATATAGCTTTTCATGATTTTTCTTCTTAACAGCTTTTAAATACAATAAAACAAAGATAGAGCTAGACCTTCGTATTTTGACCTACAGCTTCCTTAAAACAAGAAGCAGTGTTTTCAAATCCAATGGTGCTCTTTACTCCAAGAAATGTTTTCTTTACAGTCATGACAAAATCAAATACCACATTCTTTCAAGTTGCAGCAAACACTTTATTCTCCTCATTAGTGTCTCAAAACCACTGGAAACCAAAGTCTGAAAAAGTCCTTCAGCAATAAATGTGAATGTTTCACAGAAAAGATGAAAGAACTTTCAAGAGAATGTCAGTGTCCATTAATTGTATTTCTGAGCATTTTTCTTTGGTAAAAATACCAAACGTGAATAAATTAGGTACAGCGTCGGTAGAAATAAAAGAAATAATCTGTGAAGAATATCCCAGCAAAATAAGGATCCGTTGAACAGTCAGCTAAATCCTGTCGGAACAGGAGAAAAGAAAGATTAATGTAAAAATGAACTGTAGCTAAAGTATTTTATTTGTTCCTTTAGTGGTCAATTTCTTACTAAAAAGAAATAAAAAAGTAAGCTTACTGGTGCAGCTACACGGAAATGGTATGCACTGTCAGAAAACGGGGCCACGGGAAGGTTCCAAATGTGCTGATATCCCTAAATAACGAATGCGAGAGATCCATTTCATAACCACATTTTCTACTCAGTTAGTGAGGGTATCGGCTTAAAAGCATTCCCTTGATGACTTGAAAGGCATCTGTGATAGCAGCTTTTGATAGGTGTCAGAAGAACAGTCTGCAGCTTCTAAAGGACACTAGGAAGACACTGATTCAGGCTTCCTAACGAGCCAGCCAGCACAAGGAAGCAGTGAATTTGGCTCAAGATGTCCCTCGCGCAGTTGGAAATAGAGGCCGTGATTCTAAACATACTTCTTCTGGAACAGGAGCATAAAATCAAGGATCTAGAAAACATTACCTGTGTCATCTCTGGGAAGACTTCTCCATAGCTTTGGGTCCCTTTGGTTTCCTTTTTACTATGGAAACATATATTTCCAACGGTGAGTTTGCATTGGAAGACTATCAATGGTTCTGTTGTGCTTCAAGAGACAAAGGAAAGAGGCCAAATGGAAAAGGAGTTACCAGTTCCTATTAGGCTACATCTTGGTAAGAGGGATGAATGGGAACGTAACTTGTAAATCCCTTGAAAGTTCACAAAGTTCATTATGCAATCCTCAGTGATACCAATAGGCTAGCTCACATCTTATTACTACAAAGAGAAACCTAACCCGCACAGGATTACTGAAATAGCATGGGATAGTTTCTAAAACCAAGTATTATGTCTAAACCACTTTATATCAGAACTTCTCATCTCTAAATAATTTCAATGATTTTTGTTTTGTTTTGTTTTTTGGTACCGGGGATGGAACTCGGGTTCTTGTGCTTGCACAGCAGGTGGCGAAACCACTGAGCTAAATCCCTGGCCAATGATTTTTTGATATATCCTTTTCTTTTTACTGGCAGCTGACTTTGCACTTATCTTAAACTTCTAAGATTTTAGAGTGTGAAAGGTGCTGGCCTAAATGGACATTATTTGAAATAGCAAGGCAAACAAATACGGATAGGAGTTTGGGGGTGAGTTCCATTAGAAATCAACAGTATTCAAAATTATCAGAGTAGAAGGATGAAAGAATGGTTCTTCTCTGAAAGTCGTTCAGGATGAGATACATTTCTCTTTGGAAACAATCCTTCTGCACAAATGGAAACAACCTACATCCTCAGCTGAGTTTACAGTAATTCCCCCTTATTCATGGTGGGCGCATTCCAAGACCCCAGTGGATACCCTGAAACAACAAATAATACAAAATCCTATATGTACTATCTTTTCTCCTATACATACGTACTTATGATATAGTTGAATTGATATTTTAGGTATAATAGGAGTTTGACAACAACAGTAATAAAATAGAATAATTATAACAATATACTCTTGAAAATATACTGTTTCTGGAATTTTTCAGTTAATATTTTTGTACTATGACTACAGATAACTGAAATTATAGGAAGTAAAGTCATAGTTAAGGGGAAACTAGTAAATGTATTATTTTAAAATCACCCCTGTTTCAAAAATGGTTCATAGACCAACAGGCCTGATTTAGTGGCTCAGGTCGATCTTCCACCACTTCAAGCATATAATATATAATCTTATTTCCTTCCTTGAAGCTAGGAAAGGAAATGCTATTCTAGGTTGTAAAGGAGTGCTGAAGAATAGTTCATTTATCATGTAAGAATAGCACACTTAGCATGTAAAGATAGTACATTTAACATGTGAGACTAGTACATTTAGCTTTTGCTCTGCCTTGAAATATAGTGGATTCTGAGTCGTGAAACGTTGGGTGCCTGAAACAAACATTTGCAAGGCAAGCAGCTGGGCTGAGTGTCATTACCTGCTCTTCCACGCAAAGCTGATGAGAAAACCAGCGTGGAGCCCAAGTAAATCAGAGAAGATGGGGTGGGGGTGATGGAGGAGGATTAACTGACCTAGGGAAACTGGAGGAGAGTGGGCAGGCCAAGGACAGGGACAGAGAGGGAGAAAAGGAAGGGAAGAGAGGAGATGTGGAGGGAAAATAAAAAAGACTAAAATCAAGATAAAAAGTAACAGTCTATCATCATGGTTAGTAACAAATTGCATGATTTTTTAGTACAATTGGTTGCAAGCCTTAAAATACCATAATTACCTAAAATATTAAATAATAATAGATTAAATTAGAGTTCTGTGATTTTGGAGAAAAGGACAGTAAAATAAAAGCTACATTTATTGAGTGCCTACTATCGATCAGGAAGGGGCAACATCATGACATCTCATCCCTGGGGAGGCGGGAGAGTGATGGTTGGAAGGGAGGGCTGTATTTGAATCCCAGCCCCACTACTTGCTAGCTGTGAGTTTCAGAACACTTTTTTTTACCCCTTTTTATACTCATGTTTCTCATCTGTAAGACAAACTGGAGAAAAAAATACCATCTTGGGAAGGTTGTCGTGAGGATTATATGACCCAGTAATAACATACATGTTCAGTGTCTGACCCATGGTCTGTGCTCAGCAAATGGTAGTTATTAATTTCACCAATATTAACAATAATTCCCACAATACCTTTGTATGTTACAGCATAATGTAATATTCACTTTACAGAACAAGAAATGGTAGATCAGAGAAAACATGTGGCTTTTTCAAGATCATAGGATTAGTAAGTGACAGGAAGAAAATTTGAAAACTAGTCTGCTCAATTCTAACCTCTGATTTTTTTTCCTCTCTCCCTCTCTCTCTCTCTCTCTCTCTCTCTCTCTCTCTCTCTCTCTCTCTCTTTTTCTTTGGTATGGGGGGTGGTTTGAGTTTTTTTCTTTTTCCAGTCCTAAACAAAGTGGTCAGGTAGCCTCCCCATTGAGACACAAATTACAAAGGGTGATCAAAAACTTCGGTGAATGTTTAAATTTTACAAATTGGAGTATAAGAAACAGTGCCATGAATCCCCATCAAAATATTCCCTCCTCAATTTAAATATATGTATCCCATCATTATTGCCACTTTCTGAAGCAGTTCTGGAAGTCTTCTTTCATGAATGTCTTTACAAGGTGTGATCAAAAATACAGCAAATAGGGCCAGGGATTTAGCTCAGTGGTTCCAGTGACTGCCTCAAAAGCACAAGGTCCTGATTTGATCCCCAGTACCAAAAAAAAAAAAAAAAAACAAACCACAGCAAATGCTGCTGTTGAATACCATTCAATGGAAAGGCAAGCTTATAAAAAACACGTGTGTCCTCATCCACCCAGAGACTTTTGGCCCTTCCCCAAAGTCAAAATGACCATGAAAGAAAGGTAAAGTTTTTAATCAATTCAGGATATAAAGGCAGATAGAAGACATTCACAAAAAAAGACTTTCAGAACTTTTTCAAAAGGTGGCAAAAGAGTGAGTGATGGGATATGTGTGTTCAAAATGAGAGAGTATTTTGAGGGGGCTTAATGGCAATGTGTCTTTTACTGTAATAACATTTCTTACTTAAACACAGCACATTTTTCAAAAATACCTCATTACTCTTGTTCCCACCCTATTTTGAAGGGAAACAGTCAGGGGAGGACTGCAGCTGTGAGCGTCCAAACAAAGCCACTCCCATTTCGCAGGTTTTCCTAGTTTGGAGCCGCTGTTGCCTGGAGGCCTGGGTGATCCCTGCCCTGGCTCTGACTCCCCCTAAACCAGCCACTTCTCCACCACCATTCACAGACTGACAGCTTTCTACCTACCTCCTAACTTATAGATGGAATTGTAAAGTAAATTCAGACTTGGTGGTTAATTAGTAATAAAAATCAAAAACAAACTTTTTAGATCCATGTACTTACTTGATTTCCAGAGAGAATTTGACATTTGTGGGTGTGTTCTTATTAACAGGAATATTGTAATGATAGTATCCAGACCTAGTTGTGGAAGAAAATTAAACTGAAAATCAATATATGAAGGAAAGGCTTTTGTCCACTTATATACTCTGCAAGCTGTGAAATATTATATAATAAATATAGAAAATAGTTAACCTAGGTTTTCAGAGACATACTTGTCAAATTTGAGTGGTCTTATCCACATATTAATATAAAATATATTGCAAGATTTATAATTTTTAGAACACATGGAAAAAATGATGGGAAGTCAAATTCCAAACCAAATGCACAAAATTAAATGCACAGGAAATAACTCCAGTTCCCTTTATGGAGATACAGATTTCAGAAGACAAATGAGGCAAAGACCTCAGACTCATAATCCCCCTGAAAAGGAAGGTTGAAATTAATACCAGTTTTTCTACCACAAATCACTCCCTTTTAAACAATATTAATGGGAAATATGTACTTTTAGAACCTGAATATGCTATAATTACTATAGCCCTGATTACTATTTAGTAATGGAGAAAATTATAAAATGGAATTGATTATCTGTAGGCTCCTCCCTACTGTTACACCCCCAATTTAATATTGAAAAAAGGAAATTCCATTGATTTATATTGTAATGAAAATTTCCAGCAAAACAGCACATTTGTATCTAACACAACTTCTCCTTTTAACTGGTTATCCCATGAATTATGTGGAGAAACAACTTAAAATTAGATAAGTGGGGAAAAGTCAGGCATTTTAGATTCTAATTAATATTAATTAATGCTAAACTAAGTTGCTAAAAATGTGCAAGCAAAAACAGGGAATTAAAATAACTGGCATTTTATAACATATAGAAATACAAAGACATCACTTTGTGCCCCTTGAATATACACAATTTTTTCATGTTAATTATATCTCAAAAAGTAGAAAAAAAGATGGGTGCTACTTATGTACCAAGTAACAGAACTATTTCAGTTAATTAATATGTTAAAAATATGTAGAAAAATCTGCTTTAGGGTCAGGAATGCTTTAGGAAACCTAGATTAATAGAATTAATTTCCTGTGATGGGCCCCCCAATGTCTGTCTGCTTCACAGCAACCCAATTCACTTGATAGTGTTCCCATCATATACTTGAGAAATGAATATTCAAGGAGAATAAACATTTTTGTCTAAGCCCTAGGACTGAATTGTCTAATTCTTTTTCATTGTGTCATCCTACATATTAACATCAGTCTCTGATGCACAATCAGATGCAAATCATTAGATGCGATCTTAGGCAAACTTTTTCAAACCCACTGAAAACTACATAATAGGAATAAATAATACCAACTTCTTAGGGCTTTTGTGAGAATGTGATATTTAATATAGGCATCATAAAGCTCCATACAAGTTATTTTTATAATTCAGGACTATCAAGCATAAATTCTATCAGATTGAAAAAGACATAAAGCTAAAAACCCAAATGATTTGTTACACTAGTTCAAAATACATGTCTTGCCTTTGATGTAGCAGATACCACATAAATATTTATCAAATTAACATAAATAAAACTCCCTATTTTTAATGCCTACCATCTGCATTTGTGTTTGTTGAAGCAGCTTGCATTCTATGCTTCTAGGTGTATCACTGCATGCCTTTACAGGTGATATGACACAGACCAGAGACAGAGAGGTTGCTGATAACTTGGAATACCTAGATGTTTTTCCCCTTCTTATGGAAAAAGCTAAGATGAGCTATATTTTTTATCAATGAAAATAATGATATCCCTTGTTATTAAAATATACAAATGGCAGCTCACTCATAACTTGGAGCCATCAGTAACCTTGCCTTTCTTGTCTATAACATTAATTAGCAGCTCTGTGCCCTCAGAGTCAGCCACAGAGTTGTTCCCAGGCTTTTTGCTTCAGACTTAGCCATAAAATCAGGCAATTAAAATCACTAGGGCTGTGACTTACTGACATTTGCTCATACCAATTATTTTGTGATTCCCTTGTAGCCATGTAACCACTGTGGGGGGCGACGTAAGTACACACTGATTTCACCATGTAGCTTTAGTTTTCATTCCAGTCTCAAACCTAGTGCCCTGAGTAAATTCAAGAAACAAGCATGGTATCATGAGGGGGCTTACCCACCCACACTGGAGCCATTTACTGCAATACCGACGATCAATTACATGCTGGATTTCTATAATCTGAATAGAACTGATGGACGTATCAATCCCTGAATTAAGAAGAAATAAGAGACGCAAAAGTAAACTCTCCAGGAAGGGAAGCGTATTATGCTCCAGAATAGTACCTGAGTTGCATCATGTAAGAGTTTCCTAGATAAATGGATTCCATTTACACTCCAGTAGAAAAAGGAGAAGGAAGGAGACACATTTTCTGGTTTTGGGGTTTTTTTTCATTTTGTTTTGTTTTGTTGTTGATATAGTAAATTGTAAGAAAATTAATAAAAATCCAGTCTCCAATAAACAGCCCCCATAACATTCAAAAGAATTTCTGGACCATGGAACCCCTACTACATCCAAATTTACTGAAAACCAAGAATGCAATGTGAAATGCAATCTGTTTCAGAAAACAAAAAATGAACTTTAAAAAATACTCAAAATAAAAGAGGAGGATGAGAACTTCAAGTAAATTATTAAAATCCATAGAGATCAGTCACAATTTGCCTGGCAGTGAGTGATAATTTCTAACGCCTCATTAATGGTCAAGCTGTCAGTGACCTCAAAACAGCCCACAGGTATGCATAGGGCACAGGCTTTGTTCCCCTTCTCCACTCCAGGAATGCGTAATGCTTTTATAGCTTGTGATTTTGCCTGGCCCCACAAAGGCAAACAGGGTAATGTCAACTTACAGTCACTCTGCCAGTCGGCACTGATGAATGCACCTCTTGTCAGGAATGATTTGCTTTTGTCTTCTGAAGAGGAAAGACATGTGTCAGTGTTGAGGGCTTGCTCAGGATGAGGAGAAACCCCGCGTGCCCTAGCTTGTCTCTGTGAGTTGAAAGTTTCCCCACTCTTTCTCTCCCGCCTTTCGACCCAGCTACAATCTGTCCCACTTCTCACAGATGTGGGTTATTCTTACCCTCCTCCAAGCAGCCATCTCTTTATAGGCTGAGCTGTCTACCCCTGAATCATATGTTGAAGCTCTAGCCCCCCGTTCCTCAGAATGTGACTGACTGGATTTGGAGCTAAGACCTTTGAAGTGTGATTAAATTAAAATAAGGCTGTTAAGATGGGCTCTAATGAAATCTGACTGGTGCCCTTATAAGAGGGGCTCAAGATAAATGGGGAGACACCAAGGGCACATGCCCAGAGGAAAAGTCACAAGAGGACCCAGGAAGAAGGTGGCCATCTGCCTGCCAAGAAGTGAGGCCTCAGAAGAGCCCAGACTTGCAGACACCAAGATCTTGGAACTCCACCCTCTCGAAATACAAGAAAATAAATGTCTATTGTTTAAGCCACCCAGCCAGTCAGTGGAATTCTACTATGGCAGCCGGAGCAGACTAAGATACCACCCTGAGAAAGAAAGCTTGCAGCTCACAGCTCCCTCCTTTGCATTGCCATGGCATTTATTACTGAACCACCCATGTGGTCATCGATCAGTGATATATCTGTCACTAGACTGAAGGACACATCATCCTTCAATGTGTTACCACTTAGCTTCTCATGTATTTTTGCCTTTTCTTGACCACTTCAGAGTAGGGAACCTCTATTAACATTCTTTGAATCCTCTGTAACTCCTGGCATAATGCTTTGCTCATACTATGGAACTCATTTTCTTTGATTAATGACAAGCTAAATGTAATTTCATTCTTCATCTAGTTTCTGAATTAACAGTGTTGCTAATCAAAATCAGATTTAGGTTATCTGGGTTCTTTTCTATGCAACTTATTATTCACTATCTCAGCATAATGTGGGGTTTTTTTGGTACCAGGGATCAAATTCGGGTCTTTGTGCTTGCAAGGCAGGTAGTGGAACTACTGAGCTAAATCCCCAGCCCAATCTTAGCATAATTTATGTTAAGGTACAAAATAGAAATAAGTCATCAAAAAATTCTTGTGATGGGGGGCGCCTCACAAATTCTTGAGACAACTCATTTCTCTGCTGGGCAGTCTGAGTACCAGTTTTCCCTTTCACTGAGCCAGCATCTACTTTCCTGCTCATCCTTTTTGATCCTCACAATTCTACCTCTTGAGTGAGTAGAACTGGCCCTAAAGGCAACTTCTCTGACCAACCCAAACCTGGATCATGTGCAGTTGCTGGGAGCACATTTTTGACTCTGAGCAAAAACAAGGATCATTATAAACATAGCATTTGGAAAGTAGGAAGTAGAAAGGAACAATAGCATGCATATTGGAATCTGATTTCTGAACTATTCTTGGAAACTTAGAGGAAAGCAAGGAGATGGAATTATTTGGTTTAACAATCCATTTAGAGTTGAGTTCATGAACCACCAGGGCCTAGCATTGAGGGTACATTTGTACCCACTGGTTTTTCAACCTTGCTTACTTCCATGGACTCCCTGTTGCATAATACACCCTGTTAAATTAGAGAATGTGATTCAAAAGCAGTAAGGAGAGTGAGTAAAAGTGAAGAAAAATAAGAACAAGACTATCTTTCAAATAATGATCTATCAACCTTTACACAAATAGAATTGGGATCTCTCAAGATAAATAAAACTTGTAAAACAAATTGACATGTTCTTCCATATTAGAGAAAATTTTATGAGACATACATATTCTTGCATTGAAGGGTAAAAATGACAATTATGTGTACTCTTCATTGGCACATATTATTTATGAGACATTGTTCTGAGGGTCTTAGAACAGTTCAGGAAGGTGGCTGTCCCCGTTTGACAGACTAACTGAGGCACTAGGAGGTCAATCTGTGGGTAAGGAATAGAGTAGGACTTTCGATCCAAACCATCTGATTCAGAGTCCACACTTGTGCTACCCTGGAAATATGTGAAATATGATCCACGCAGGGGAAATGGTGAGTTTAAAGCCTGGAGTAAGGACTGGGTTGCAGCCAGCTGAAGAAAAGAATCAGATCACTGGTGTGGGGTCAGTGCCAGGGGACAGTTAGGCCCCTCACATAGCTGAAAAGGCATTTTAAAAGCAACTTTAAAGGGGCAATTGTTTAGATTATTGTTGTTAAGTCTATGGAGAAAAATATGTATGTTTTAAAAGCAGATAGTGAAAGCAGACATTTAATGGGTTGCTAAACAAATCTAACAGGAAATTTTTGTGAAGTTTTAGCATTCACATTTTTGAATTTGCTGAAATCTATGTTCAAGTTTCTACATCAGATTTCAAGACAGAAAGCAAAAGCAACAGGGCACAATACTTTGGTAGAGGGGTCCTAAGCATCTCTATTCTAGTCAGTGCTTCTTGCTCTAGGTAGAAGGGCTCCTTCTCTTGGCCACTCACCTGGTTGTGAGCACCCTGAAAACTGCTCCGTTCACACTCCTGTTCCCCAGACAGGCAATGCTGAGCTCTGTGCAGCTACTCAATAAATACTTGTGGAAGGGAAGAGGGAAGAGCCAGGAAAAGAGGAAGGAAAAGAGGGAAAGAAAAATAATTCCTCTTAGGGAACACACCCGAAAAGAAAATTCCCAGGAACTGGGAGCAGAGATGCTGAGAATGGGTGTGAGAGAATGGGCTCCTTCACTCTCTTAGCAAATGGGAAGGAGGCAGAACTGAAGGGCAGGGCAAGGTTCTGAGCCTCTAGCCCCAGTATCATGCTTTGCATTAAGAACTGGATCTTGAGATATGAGAATTTTCTGTAGAAATGAATACTGATTTCACTTTCCATTTAAGTATACATGCTGCCCAAAAGGTCTCCAGATTTCTTAGATTCCAGATATTCCAATAATAATTCTCATGACTCCTACTATTAGTTGTGCTTAAGATGCTTTCACAGAAGGCTGAAGTTTGCAAGTCAAATGAGACACAGAGTGGAAACCAAGTCTCCTCTACCCCCGTCTGTTTTCTACCTTTTGTTCTATTTTTCTGCTGAATTTTCAGGAAAAATGGCTCATCATAAATTCTGGCAATACATACACAGATTTGCCTCACTTCCACAGAACTGTGTTTAGGTTCTTAGAGACAGAGAATCCTATAAATAGGATTGCATATCTGGTGAGATAAAGTATTTTTTAACAGTCATAAAAAGGTAAGGTTGAGAAGAGATAATCTTGCAGATTAGAACTATGAAAATGATTTTTCAAAGGCAGGAAATAAATTTTAAATCTGCTACAAAACACCCCAATTTGTCACTTCTCTGAAACAAGACTCTTCAACTCTGAAAGACTGGACATTAGAAAACTATAAACCTTCCTGTACTAACACAGGCGCAGCTCTTGCTTTACAGATGCCTTCTAACAATATTCACAGTAAACTTAATATACATTCCCAGTGGTTTTCATTAGAAAACTGAAGATAAATTTCATAATTGGCAAATAAGACCTTGCAATAAACTAAATTAGAAACTTCTTAAGAGGAGAAATTTGGGATGGTGTCCAACAAAAGTATATCCTGCTGTGGATACCAAATCAACACACAAAAATCAATAGCACTCCTGTATACCAATAATGCATTCACTGAGAAAAAAATTAAGAAAAATACCATTCACAATAGCACAAAAAATTAAGTACTTAGAAATTAACCTGACTAAGGAAGAGAAAGGCCTCTATGACAAAAACTACAGTATTCTGAAAAAAGGAGATCAAGGAAGACTTAAGAAAATGGAAAGATATCCCATTTCTGGAAAGGAAGAACCAAAATGGCCATATTTCCAAAACTGATACATAGGTTTAATGCAAGCTCAATCAAAATACCAACATCATTCCTCACAGAACTATAGAAAACAGTCCTAAGATTCACAGGGAAAAGAAGGGACCCAGAATAGCAAAAGCATCACCGCTAACAGGACCAAAGCAGGAGGCATCTCAATCCCCGATTTGAAGTTACATTACAAAGCTACAGTGATGAAAACTGCATAGTACTCACAAAAACAGACATGAAGATAAACAGAACAGAATAGAGGATGCAGAAACAACTGCAAACACATTTAACTATTTGCTTTTTGACAAAGGTTCCAAAAACATACACAGAGGAAAGACCACTTGTTTAATAAATGGTGTTGGGGAAATCGGCTATCTACATGAAGAAGATTGTATCTAGACCCATATATTTCACCATGTAGTAAGCTAAAATCCAAATGGATCAAAGAGCTAAATGTTAAAACAGAAGCGCTTAATCTCCTGGGAGACAAGAAAAACTCTTGAAGATATAAGTGTAGGCAAGGACTTTCTGAATAGAACCTCAATGGCACAAGAAATAGCACCAATAATCAAATTTTTAAATTTCTGCACCTTAAAGGAAACAGGAATGGAAGGAAGAACTAATCTACAGAATGAGAAAAAATTCTGCCAGCTATTTCTCAGAGGACTAACATCTAGAGTATATAAAGAATAAAAAAAAAAAACCACCCTCCAAAATAAAAGACCCTATCAAAAATGGGAAAGTGAAATGAATAAACACTTTTCAGAAAAAGAAGAACAGATGGCCAATAAATACATTTTAAAAATGCTCAGTATCACTGGCCATTAGAGAAACACAAATTAAAACAACACTGAGATTCTATCTTACTCCAGAAAGAATGACTATCATAAAGAAATCAAATAATAACAAATTCCTGTGAGGCTGTAGGGGAAAGGAATCCTTCTATATTGTTGGTGAGAATGTAAACTAGTAAAACCACTATGGAAATCAATATGAGATTCCTCAAAGCCCTGAAACTAGAAATTCCATTTGACCCACTATTCCTCTTCTGGGTATCTTCCCAAAAGAGTTTCAAAAATCATATTACAGTGATACATGCATAGCCATGTTTATAGCAGCACAATTCATAACAGCTAAATCTTGGAAGCAGCCTGTATGTCTATCAACAGGCAAATGGATAAAGAAAATGTGGTATTTGTATACAATGGAGTACTACTCTGCCATAAAGAAGGATAAACTTGAGTCATTTGTAGGTAAATGGATGGACCTTGAGATCATAATGTTACAGAAATCTCGAAAAGAAATACACAGAGACACAGAATTCGGATAAAATAATAAAATTTCTTCTCGTGAGTGGGCAGGAACACCAGAAAACAGTCTGGTCAGTATCCCCGCCCTTTGTTCAGCATTTCCCTTTTTATATCCTTTTTAGCCATTATCTCATCCCTAGTGGCCTTTGATATGTAAATACAATTGCAGTTCCTGTCTACAAGTCACAGACACAAGATAGGCACATACACATTGTAAATTCACCCTGGCATGGTAACTTTGTTAAGTTAATGAAGTTACAGGTTAGAGTCAGATAATCACCACCTTAAACAAGAAGTTATGGGAAAAGCAAATCTTAAAAGAACACATTATTTTGCTTCTACAACTACCTTAATATTCAATCTATTAAGTTATC